GAGGATTGCCCTCACCTTATTAAGTGGATTATTTATATTTTCCCAAGCAATGTGAGATTCTAATATAGTCTTCCAAACCACCAAAACCTAATATGTTTGGTTTCCAACAAAATTGAATCTTTACAATTGATCCTTCTTTATTTCTTTGTATTTCACACAATAATTTAATAATTACAATCATAGAATAACTATATTGTTTCTGGGAATCCAATCCACATAGGAATGTCTCAAGTTCCAAAACTTTGTCATGACATTTCATCCAAATTGTGTTTTCTACTGCTGAAATCTGCTCCAAATGATCTCCACAATCATTCCCTTGTATTGCTCTTCACAACCCTATTTTTTGGCTAAGATGCTCTCATTTCACTTGTCGTTAATACGAGAATTGCTTTTGCTTTCTATAAAACATATATTAAAAGACGAAGAAAAACATAAGATAATTGAAAAGAAGAACAAGAAAACAAGGTTTAACACTATAAATAGATATATTTATGCAGTTTATTTAATATACCATGAAATTCCAGGTGATGTTTAGCAGAGGCAGACAGACGTATAAGCATTGGAGTGACAAAGGTGAGGACAACCCAGAAAACTAAAATCACAACATATGTTCTTACATTCATTGTCTGAAATTTGAATATACCTTGACGGCTTAAAATCCCTGTAGGATGCTTCTATTTAGCTGCAATACTTGGCAGTTGGAGAAGACCCTTTCTTACTTAGCTGGCCATGTTAGAGAAACCATCACATTATAATGTCAAATAATTCCAAACCACCCAGTGTTCAATTGGTTATATATATATAGAATATAATATGTGCTTGTTGTTCTAAGCACGCCATAATCTTTTGATTTTTGGTGATCGGTTGTTAGAAGTTGTTACACCAAATATTCTTCTGTCCTATTCAAGGTCTGATATGGAATCTCTACTAGTCATTTTCTTGATAGCCATAGCTAAGACTTCATACCATTACCCTGTCATGTGTTGCAGCCCTCAACCTATCTGATCGCCCTGATCCAGTACTCCTTAGAACAAGTTATCCTCTATCATTAGTTATGGATTCTAATATGATCAAACATCCATTCTAATATTTCCACTATGTAACAGAAAAGGCATATGGCCAAAATCAAATGTCCCATCTTGGCTTGCCCCCTCTTATACAACATAACTGGAATCATTGTCATCAACTCCAATTTTTTAATCATAAGTGGAATTCATTTCTTCGTGGTCGTAACGAAACCGTATTAGCCCCTACCATCTTTGCCATCTCTCTGTTTTAAAGTCACCAAAATCACTAGGAACATGACCATGTATTTCAATCTCTGTTGAGTTATTACCTGACGAGAGAGTATTTGAAATTTTGTATCAAGAAACTAAAATTTTTTGTGTTAGCTCTCTCGAAAACTCAACTAATTGAAACTCTAGATCATATTGAATAACCAATAGCACAAAGATTCGAAAAACCCTCTAGCGCTATGTAAGATAATTAGGAAATGATGGCCGCATGCAAATACAAGAGCACAAAAAAATTAGACAGTAAGTGGGAAAAGGAAGAAACTAACCTTGAGAAAGCGTCCTCTTCTATTGTCACCAACGTCAAAATAAAATACCTGCAAGGACATACCCCAGACAAACATATAGAAGAAATAAAATTTGGAGACCAATACAATGTGTGGGGGCTTAGAATTCCCCTCCATCAATTAACAATTAATCAAAACTCTCTCTCTCTCTCTCTCTCTCTCTTTTCTTTGCGTTTCTTTTTCGGTACTGCACCAATTCCCAACTTGTAATACCCAGACCAGGAAAGCTTGAAAGATTTGATAGGTACTACTCATACCAACAAGGTGCACCTTCTTTTTTGGAAGTCCATCATTAGAAACTCTATAGTTAAGCGTGATTGGTTTGGAGCAATCATATGATGGGTGACCCCCTGGAAAGTTTTCTCGGGGAGCGTGCGAGTGAGGACAAAGTATGCTGAGAAGACCCATGTTGATACAGTGAGAACAGTACGTCGAATATTTAACGGCAAGGACAGCCCGTTAAGTGGGACCTGGGTCGTTACACAACTTCACTGAACAAACTGGTGGTGAGTGGAGGATGAAAATATTGATCTCTAGTTGAGATTTATGAAAGAAATCAGTAGCTAAATTCGTAATTGATTCAAGAGGAAGTGGATTGGAAATAATTTGATAGGCAAGACTTGTGGTACAAGCTACTAATTAGGGCTTGAGAGGGGAGAGCACGCAGTAGCGAGAGAAAGATAACCTTATTTTACCTGATTGACGAAGAGGAAATAATGAAGATAACTCACAAGGGCTGGATTAATAGGTCGTGCCACAGTTTTGACAGGCGGCGGAGGTGCGGCACTAAGGGACAGGTACTGGAGGTGGAAAGGCATCTGGAAATTGGAGGTGGACCAGCGTCGAAAAGCTCCTTACGGAGGTCGTGGGAGATGCGGGTTTAGGGGAGAAGAAAATGAAAACTAGAGTTAGCAAGGAAGTTCGGTTACGAGAGAGGGGGGATAGAGGATAAGTTAGAAAACAATGTTTCCCGTGTTTTCTGAAATTAACTTGTTTTGTAGTGAAAATGCTCAAAATGTGATTTTGGATGTTTTGTGTTTTCAGTACAATTTTTTTTTTTTTCAAAAATGAGAAAGAGAACGCATTTTCAGTGTTTTAAAAAATTGAAAATCGAAAACAGTATGAAAACAGCAAAGAGAATAGGGCCTTAGTTTTTGCTAGTTTTACTTGGATTCACTTGAATGCTAGACCGGGTGTTTGATATAGATCTTGGAGATACCTTAAAAGCCCACTATTGAAGTTGAAGAGCCCAACGCCACGTCGGACTGATTTTGCACTAACTTATACTAGTCCCGGACGAACACAGCTATGCCGACATCACCATCTGTACCGCTCAATTTTAATGGGAGACATGGTGCCTACTCTAATACCATTGTTATAAATCTTAGGATAGCCATACCTTAAAAACTAGCTATTGAAGTTAGAGAACCCAAGTCTATATAAATCACACACCGAAAGTCAAACTTTCGATGTAGGATTCATGTCTCATACCTTACAATTGGAATAATGACAATCCACCACTCTCCGAGATCCATGAGCCCATGTCGAACTGACTTTGCACTAGCCTATGACTAGTTCCGAACGAACACTGCTATGTCGACGTCACCATCAGTACCGTTCGATTGCAACTGAAAGATATACTTTTATATCAGTGATGTAGATCTTGGGAGAGCCATATCACAAAAACTAGCTGTTAAAGTTGAAAAGTCCAAGTCTATATAAACCACATACCAAAAGTCCATACTTTCGGTGTAGAATTTAAGTGCCCTACATTAAATGAAAATGATGATAATGTTCTAGTTGGGGCAATTGATGCATATACATTTTGGCACCTCTGCAAGTGGGATTTAATAGTTTGAGTGGTAGGAGGAGTTTGAAGAAGACTGCTTTCTTGAATGGAGATTGATTAGGTGAAGTGTTATTTGGTGGTGTTTATTATGGAGTGATTGTTCCCAAGAATGTAAATTTGAGTGAAACAGTCAGGGCTGTACAAAAAATCGTGAAACCACAAATCAAACTGAACCGAACCTGTTGGTTTTAAATCGTTGGTTCGGATCCACAACACGAGTATAGTTCACCAAAATGTAAAGCCATCCAATTTAGTAGTCACCAAATAGGAAAAAATCAAACTCATAGATTTTGGGGCGGCCACTGACCTTCGAATAGGTAAAAACTATGTACCAAATCATGGATTGCTTGACCCTGATTATTGTCCACCAGAACTATATGTATTGCCTGAGGAAACTCTAAAACCAGCACCAGAGCCAATTGCTGCTCCTTTTCCCAATATCATGGCAGGTACAATCTTTTTTTAACTTATCTAAACAACGTATTACATTTTTTACTCTTTTGTAAAAATCATGATGTGGAAAAATTAATATTACAATCTAGTTAATGAATAGAGGACAAAAACTATTACGTTCGTCCAATTTGATCGACTCTTATATAACAGAATCGATGAAGTACATCATCTTTTCACTTATTACAGCTGGACAGTCCTGATCTTCTTTATATGTATTCTCCTGGAATTGAACTCCTTCAAATGGAAATTCTGAGCTTAAGGTCGATAGCAGGTTCGGAAGTTTTGAATACAGAACTGAAGGCAGTTGGTTACGACTTGAATAGATGGAGGAAGAAAAGTCAGATGAGGCTAAACATAACTATTCTTGATCTCAACTCTAGTAGATGGTGGGATTTGGTGACAAAACTTATTTTAGAGAGAGGTTCCCGGCATAAAGGGCATTTATCTGCTTCAGCTGCTCAAAGACATCCATTATCCACATTTTTGTTAGGCAGTGATCAACCGGCTGCAGTTGTATCCAAGTTGAGTTTAATCAAGTAATGAGTTGCAGGAAAATGTAAGTAGAATTTTTCTTCCTCTTTGGGTTTATAATTGAGAAAGATGCAATTCTTCCTTTTGTTTTTGTGTAAAACTCGGGGTTATCTTTGATGCAAGCAGATACTATAAAAAGGAATGAGCAGAGGTTCTTTTCATCTCCTATAAATATCTTGCTTGGAGGTTAGAAAATCAACTATCCTACAAGCAGCTGTTAAGAGTTTGAGGTTCCATCTTAAAACATCAATCTTATTAAGAAGAATAGCCTAAATCCTTCTAAATCGATCTATGTTTTCATCTCTATTCGATATAGAATTTATCCCTTAATATGCTCCTACAAGATGGTGGTTCATTTGAGCAAACGATTTTGAAATACGTTTGCTCATTTTTTGGAGTATTAATGATGACTCGTTTGAGCAAACCAATCTTGAAATTCGTGTACTCATTTTTTTTTAGTTTTAAGTGATCGAATTGCTCGTTAGAACTTAATGAGCTCTCTTATGGTATTAAAACTCGTGGTTCCATCTTAAAATGTCAACCTTATAAAGAGGAGTAACTCAAATCCTTATAAATTAGTCTATATTTTTATTTTTATTCGATGTGGGATTTTATTTCTTAACGTGCCCCCCGCAAGATGGTAATAGGCTATGATACCATGTTAAGACTTGAGATTTCATTTTAATATGTCAGTCTTATTAAGAGAAATAATTCAAATTCTTATAAATCGATCTATATTTTTATTGTAAATGGTAAGTTTTTTAGTGAATGATAATTGTATCCCTACAATCCTAAAAATTATTACCACTGTATTAATAATCCCTCACTATAAATATGGGGCATTGATTTTCAATAAAATACACACAAGTTTATTGGCTTATATCTTTTATTCTCTTTTATTCTCTCTCTAGTTTATAACATCTTATCAACACGATTCTCTCAAAATCAAAGTGAATTAGTTAGAAGATAATAATTTTTATAAGTATAATAATCTATCACATGTACTGAAATTAATTTGGTGACATGTGAATTTTTTCTATATATGTATGCATTAATTCTCAACTTTTTTTTATATACTTGAATTTTTTTATATATATACATTAATTCTTGAGCAATCATTGTCCTTTGATTCATACATTTAATTCATGCCTTTTGATATGCAGAAATCATACCTTTGACTTTTGTGTATGTGAAATTCATCTTGAAATTATTTATCTAAAATTAATCATGCCTTTAACTTCTATATATATATGAGAATTCACGAGTTTGATATCTTTTGTATATTGGTAAAATATTTAGCCAATAATAGATTTAGTCAATTATGTTAACTTATATATATGTGAATTCATGTGTTCGATATCTTTTGTATGTTGGTAAAAGATTTAACCAATAATAGATTTAGTCAATTTTGTTAACTTCTATATATGAAGATTTTTTTTTTCCAAATGCATGTTTGGTAATTAATTTTTATCACATCGTGTTTGTATGGTAATTAATAATTTTAACTTGATGCAATATTTTTAGATGTTTCTTTATAAACTTTAAATTGATAATCCATCATGTTATTGCTCTTGAAGTAGCACAACATTATGATTAATCAATGTTCTAAAATGTGTAATGTGCAGCAATGTTTTTCAATCGAGTATCAAGAATTACAAGAATATGTGTGCATATATGAAGCATATGCATTTTTTAATTTTTAATATTATTTTAAATATTCTAAACTAATAAATAAATAAAAATAATAATGCATTCTTTAAAATTTATACATATTCTTCAAATTTAAAAAAAATATTGCTCAAAATTATAAATACTACAATTACTGAAACTTTATACATATTCTTCAAAGTTTTAATAAAAACACAATGCTCACTACAATACTTGGTAATTAATTCCTACAATTAGATGAGACACAAGCATCGGCTTAAAAAAATCATAAATATTATTTTAATTCTTTATCGGATTCCAATTCAAATCCTTCTTCATTCAAGTCATCTTTCGTATCATTCGATGTAAAATTATCTTCATTGGGTTGCTTATTTCAACTCGAGAATTTTTATTACATTGTGTATAGGATATTAGTATTAACCTCATCCTTATCATTACAACCATCAACAATCCAATTTTTTTTATTACTAGCATCACTTGCTACTTAAACTAAAGAAAGATCCTTATCATCACACCCATCAATAATCCATTTTTTTTTATTACTAGTATCACTTGCTACTAAAACTAGAGAAAGATCGAAGGAGGTTAGGGCTCGGCGTAGGTAATTTGCAACTCTATAAAAAAATTGTTATGATTTTTGATTTTTTTTAAATGTCAAAGCTTACAGATTGATGTATATGATTCAAGATTATAGGTGATTTGGGTTAATTTGATGTTTGTTGAGCTTAATTTTCATTTTTTTTTATGTCATAAGAATGGACTTAGATTTACTAGGCTAATTTTGACACAATTTTTAATACAAATATGTGTGCATCTTGACATTTAGACGTACATATGCATACAACGAAATGAGTTGATCGCATTATGACATGGATGCCGCATATACGAGGCGTTTCGAAAAAACATCGAGCATATGCAAGTAAATACGAAGCATATATGGGTATTTTAGAACACTGTAATTAATATTCCAGTATAATATTATTTGATCCTGAAGAGTATAAATTATAATTTTCAATATTTTAAAAATATATTAACATATTTCTCTTGAAAAAGTAATAGTAAAATATAATGTACTCTAGAAGTAGCACGTTATAATTCTCATTAATAATCTAATTAGATTTTACTTGCTCTCGAAGATCATAATAATATAAAATCTAACATAAATTATGTTTTTACTTCTGAAGAGTAAATTCTTACATAATTTATTACTCCTGAAGAGCTCATTATTATTGTTATTCTGAAACGAACGATTCAAATATTTAAATATTTTAGACAAATATTGCAGAATTATTTGAATCAATTAATACAAATCAATATTCTTGAAAAATATTGTGTTCCTCTGTAAGAATCACAATTTTATATTTATTAATATTCTTGAATAATGCTGTGTGGTTATTTTTGAAGAATTACAATTTAGACATTTCAATGTAAATATTGTATTGATCTTGGAGAATTAAAATTTTAATTAATTGATTCTAAAGAAGCAATAGTTTATTTATATCAATATTCCCGAAGAATATTGTTTTGATACTAATAATCCTAAATATCAACTTTTTAGCAAGTGTTAGTTGAGATGTCGATAAATGATTTAACAATATTGTTTGTCAAATGCCTCCAATTAATTTCATTGAGGACAAAATACTTTTCATTTTTGTTTGGGAAAATCAATTATGCATCATACGAACATCATAGTTTTCCCAATTATAACTAGCTTATGGTCAAAGCCGAGCCTAATTTTTCTATAATTTATTTTAATAGTATAATATATGTAACATTGATCCACCACAATGCACTAAGATGAAAAGTAAAGGATGTTGAGAATAAATGCGTAGTGTGACTCTTATCCCAAATGTGTGATATTTTATAATGCAGTTTGTTGATTGTCAATTTGATCTGACAACTCTCTCATCATTAGGAGGATAAATTAAAAAGCTGGAAGTAATATACAAATGCATCACTATCTAAATCCTTGCAAAAAACAATTCGAAACAGAAGCTCGAAAGATAATTCGTTGAAATGTATTTACTGACTAAAGATATCAACAATATCACAAACACCAGCTTTAAATGCCACAACTCGAATTAACTCATGGAAAGACAATTCATTAATATTATATTTGATAAATTTATGACATATCTGAAATGTGATGATATTCGATTCTAATATAAAAAATCTTGCAATATAATTTGAGCAATTAACAAAGATGGTGCAATTAAAGAGACATATACTGTTGATTAGTATTAGACACAACAAATTATAAAACTTCAAAAGAAGTTCAGGTGCGTGATATGTTAAAAATTGAGATATCTCAATAAATTATGTCATTGTAGAATATAATAGAATTGAAAAAGAAAAAATTGTCGACAACACTTTTATAAATGATGTACTGCATTATATTATGAATAGAGAAGAATTGAAATAAATTCGTTGAAACATATCGATAGAAATAATTATTGGACAAATAAAATGACGCGATCATACTAAAATTAAACTTGCTAAAGAAACCAGAAGTTTCTGGATTTACAGTTTGAACATCTAAAGGTGTATACTATACGAAATGACAGTGGAAAAAATAAAGTCGTCACATGAAATGTATGACTTTTTACATTCTAAATTTCACGAAAATTGTATAAATCGATAAATTATCATGTGATGAATGTAATCACGAGTCTCTATTTCTTTAGTGTGACAATGCATGAAATTTGATATGCATATAATAAATATGATTATAGACAATTTATCTTGTATGGTTCTAATACTATTCTTGGAAAACTTAATATGCCTGAAGCATATAATTCGAGCAATATTATCATGAGAGGGAGTGAATACGCGTTGTACTCCCTTTTCCTTTGACCAGGTTTTTGTCCCATTAAATTTTCCTAGCAAGGTTTTTAATAAAACAATTTTTATGATGAATTTAAAATAAAAATGTACTCTTTTACATTCGTTAGAGTTTTTTCCCATGGGATTTTACTAATAAAGTTTTAACGAGGTATATTTTTTGTGTAATGAATGTCCATAACTTAAAAGACGTTTACCCTCGTAATAACTCTAATATGTATGAAACTCCAAAAGAGATCAACAAGAGTTATTTTTTAGATTATCATGTTATTATAGTCATTAATTTTTGTCCCACTGGATTTTTTTGAAGACGTTGACGTACAAGACATCAATATTATAGACATTGACATACAAGACATGGATTAATTGATACAAAAATTGAAATCATGAGAGCGTTGTACTCTTTTTCCTTAACTTAAGTTTTATCCTATTGGATTTTCTTGACAAGTTTTTAACGAGGCAAAAATTTTGTAATGTGTCATTCAAAAAGAAGTGTTATA